TCGAACGCGTGCTGATGAGACAATAGATATCAAAAGCTTATTTACCTTAGTAGGTGGCATTTTGATTCTAAGATAAGGAAATACTGTGGCTCCTCCATATTCTACATTTGATAGCTAAAATATACATAAGATGAGAGAATTACACGTAGCATTCGACATTCATATCATTTTTGTAATAATTAACATTGTGAGGTCATGTGTTATACTATATTTTAAGCCTGGTGCGCCTGGTTCGAAATTGCCAAAAATGCGCCATCTTCTTGATAGTTATATACGTTAATTCCTTATGTATATATATAAGGTAGATAACATTAAAAAATAGCACAGCCTATCGAAAACTGTTGACATTTGGCTATTGAAAATCGAAGGGTTTGTACAAATTGTGAGATTCAATGCTAATGATGAGATCTTGCAGTTTTTCAACCCGTGGCATCTAACTCCTTTAGAGGTCGTTAAATGGGATAGTTTAATTGGACAAATAATGGTTTTTCTTTTCCATTATCATTATTTTAGGAACAGTGTACAAATTGCAGTTTGTAATTTTATTTCAAATATCTATACCTTTTCTCTATATTACCCTTTCAGGATCCTTATCAACTACATCAACCGCCTCCTCCCTATAAACCTTTATTATTTAGTGTTTCTTTATTTTTCCCTGAAATCTTCCATGTCTGAATAGAACGACTTAGATCATGCTAGCCTACAAAGAACCTCGTTACCATCTAAAAATTACCCCGAGGATGAAAACCCCTGGTCTTAATCATTTTAAAATTAACTACCGTGAACTATAATATTCACACACATTCCTGTTTTAAAATTCAGACCAGCGTTCAACAAGAAAGGGAAAATGGAATAAAATAAATGCAAGAGCACTTATACTTACGTAGATAAGAAATGTCGCAATTCTATCTCCAGATTGCTGTAATTCTTCTATAGCATTTAATACCAAATCTGGCTATAAAACGAAACATATCAAAAGAAATATGTTTAAAGCAGTATGTTTCAATTGTTGCAGGTAAAGATGTTTCGTTTTGCGTAGTTCTTCGTGTGACTACATCACCCTATCGTCAGTCGCAGATCGGAGTGGCTGACATGAAAAAAAAAAACCCCGAGATTCCGTGTGCTGTCACTCAGATCACTCCTGCGGATGTACATACCAGAAAAATTGTTTGCACCTCCAAATCTATCCCCACTTTATTTTTAACAAATTAAAAAAATAAAGATATTTGTACGTTTTTGCACCAAAGTATGTGTCAGAATACACCAAATCAATTCAATTTTTCGAAAAAATTTCTTGTGAGATCCCTCTCAGACGCTCTATTAGAGGCTTGCAACTTTGACGCCTATACACAGAATGGCCACATTTAGAATTCAGCCTCGACATTAATTCCTTCATCTTTTGGAAATCGAATTAAGAGTTAGCTAATGCTGTTGGCTTCGCATAATTTGCCTAAATGCATACTGCATAACTTATAGTAGTAGTCTTCGGTAAGTGTGTATATGATAAGTTAACGAATTGAATTTACTGTTAACATAGGAATATACACTTGTATTCATAGATCAAGCACACACTATAATGACAGATGGCTATTTGATCTCTTTGTGTTCACTCAGAAAGAGTGGTACATTTTAGTTTTAGTTTCGGATATTAACATGTTTCTAGAACATGTACTGTTACCATTAAAATAACAGATGTAAACCTACCGATGCATCCACATGTGGTCGGTATTCTCCACCAATACCATAATTCACTACCTGGAAATAAATCAAACCTATAACTACACACACTAGACAATCATTACTAGTTAAAGGGATTGTAAAGATGGATTCTAAATATTTCTATGTGTATCGGGGACACTGTTAGCATCAATTTGCACCATTCCAATTTTCAATCAGACGTCTGTGGATCCTGTAATTCTTCGAAATAATCCGATATGTATTCGTCTAAAGTCTGTAAATAGCTCTGGGTGGTTTATGCTTTAAAGGATCTTTGGACTTTGCCACATTTGGCACTTTACAATCTGAAAGCAACTGGATTTTCAACGACAACCAGAAGCTTGTGGCATCTGGGATAATCTAATCTAGATTATGGTGATCCGGGCGCAAACAACTGAAACAAACGTAGTTGTTACCAGCTGCTAACGTACCACTTTTGGATCTTGTCGTCGACATCCAGTTGCTTACAGTTGCCGTTGTTTTCTGTGGTGGATTTTATATAATGCTTTGAATCGCCGCTGGACCTAAGACCATATACATTACATCCACTGTACCTGATAGGCTTCAGCAGATGAAATCCCTTCAGTGTTTTGATGTGTGTTGAGATGAGTTAGCTCCCCTATTTTCTGTGATAATAAAAGAAACAACAGATTGGCCGAATCATCTAAAAATGTACTGAAAAGAAACGTTTACAATATATCATTTCGTATGATTGGAAATGCCTTTATTTGGTAATAGAGCAGTCACGAGTAACACTGCATTTTATTGGAAACGTATTCTAAATTCTTGCACTGTTGCATCCATAACATTAAATAATGAAATGAAATAGACTTAATCTTACTTTGAGCTCGTTCTTCCAAAAACGCCACGCGTACCACTACCTACAGTCAAACTTTTAGCCAACTGAAAAAATAATAATAATAATGAAAATAATACGAGTATGCTAGTACTACAGGGCAGCCTCAATAATATATAATTTTTCTTTTCTGTCGGCAACTACACCCACTGACATATTCGATAAAATGCTTCTTTAAGAGTAAAAGAGATCTAAAGGAGTTTTTCTTATAAAACACTGATAGCATCTTTTGCATCATTCCAATTTTTTTCAGATTTCTGTAGTTCCTGCATTCCCATTACACCTAAGTGTTTGATAGATTCACAAACCGCGAAGGGCCTTATAGGTGATACAATCATCTTTTGCGATTAGTGACGTCATCAAACACTTATTTATTGAGGAATTTCAGGAACCACAGACGCCTGACTGAAATTTGGAATGGTGCAATCAGTGTCCCCGATACACATACAATTTCAAAATCCTTTCAAGTAATTACCTTCTTGACTGAATGATTCTTCAAAGTCTTTATAGTTTCGTCATTAATAACATCATAAAAGACTGAGATATAAGGTTGCCAATGTAAAATTTCTTCTTTGTATAAAACATACGGGAGGAAATGTTTTTGATATCTACAAACATGATACCATTTGTTACCTAACTGAAAAATAAAAGTACCATAAAAGGGAATAAAATATCGAATATAATCCTTATTCGTCATATATACTTTCTTACCGACAGAGAGTTACCATTCTGGCTGCTATATGTATCACTTTCCAAACTCTGATTTGAGTGTGTGTGGGAGGGGGGATGATCTGCCACAATGAAAAAAAAAGCACCGTCAAAGCCAGGAGGATATTCATATTTTCAGGTGGGTCTGACGACACCAAGATCTTCATTATTATGAACCATCTAGTCAAAAGAAAGAAAATGTCACTTCGACAAATAATTATTTACAGTCGAATCTCTCGGTTGGGGATGGACCTCTTAAAGTATTCTAAACATACCACCATAGTTGATTGTGTACAAGACTGAACGTATTCAGGACCAGCGTCGTCAGAAGGGAACATTATTTCTTCGTCTATATATGAATTTTTAAGCTTCAATAAATCTAACACCATTTGATGATTTGGATCTATAAATTGAAGGTTAGAAATAAAAGTTACTTTATGTTACTATATGGACATTTGAGCATTAACAAACCACCGTACATGAACCATCGTACATTTGTTACTTAGACAAAACAAAAAATCAAATTAAGAATAAATAATAAATATGAGTATTTATTCATCAGTGGAATTATCTGATGTCATAAATATACAACAGAACCCCAATAAATACATAAATGTAATCGCTTTTCAATAATTACTTAGTTTTATGAATGATTACTTAGTTTTGTGGATAATTACTTAGTTTTACGGATTTATCAGATTAAAAGGGATTCTATAGTTAAGACACGGGGTAAGTCCAATTAAAGTTCGTAGGACTGACTTTGGATTGTGAAGTCCAGTTTCCAGAGTTTGGTGTCTTGAAGATGATCTATATTGGAAACATGTGTTGGTAGCGTGTACAGAGCACTTATCAATTAGAAGAGTATGGTTCTGACAAACTTGAAGCAATAAATTATGCTCACTCATTAGTGCTATCTTTTCCAAATATTTGACCCCATCTTCAAATCGATGTGCCTAAAAAATAAAACAGTAAACACAAATAAACTTAAAAACAAATATTTTCGATGTTAAGTCTGGTTTTATAACAAATTCGTGTTTCTTACTTTTTCATCTGAATATTCTAGAATTTTTTTAGATAGATTAACTCATTTGAACATAGATTAGAACATACATTAAACAATAGATTAGACCTTGGACATAAATCAAAACATGGATTAGAACAAAGATTTGGGCATAGTTTAAGCTTAATAGGACAAAGGCGCAATTTTTTTGACCAATAGTACCTTAGTCTCAGAAACGGCAATTTTTTTTTAGCTTAGCCAATCAGTATTAGTGTTCATAGCTCATCCTTGAAATTTGAGCCTTAAAATCCATGTGTGTCCAGAATTACTTGCGTTTGAAAGTTAAAAAGACTAGTCGTCTTTCTTGATACACTTCTGAAGACTATTTACATACATTCTGTCCTTTAACACTTGCACACAAAATAACATAAGAATAAAACTCCGTACTAGCAAGACAATTCCGTCAATCAAAAATCTCGTCCAAAGAATGGCAAAATCATGAGTAAAGTTGTATAGTAGTGGACTGCTCCGAAAAGAAGCACCATCAGATGTTCCGAAAAGAGTGAGCATAGTCTGCCTCAGGCGCAACACCTGTCACTACTATAATGGTCAAAACCAGACCAATTCATGCCTGACCAAACAAATCAGCCTTTGTATTAATTTTATCAAGGAGTTCTCCATAATGACAATAAAATTTCCTGAATTTGAAATTTGAACGTGATTAGAACATAGAATTGAACTTGATTAGAAAATAAGTCAGTTCTAGGATAGAATAGACTAGAACAGGTGTTCTCAACCTGGGGGTCAAAGATCATGTAAGAGGTATACCCACAAATATAGATTATAGCAACTTACACGGAAATATATTTCTGAAGCAGCTCTAAATAAGTTAAATTGCAATAATGAGTTATTGTCTGTTTGTTCTTCTGTCAAAGCGACGTCTATCCACGTTAAGCCTATTTCAAGATGTTGGTCCGGAACCAAGTTTACTATCTGTACTGCATCATATATATTGAGTTTATGACCAGAACGATTCATTACCCTGCCGTGGTACAAATCAACGGAACTAAAGTTATACACAGCCTGTAGCCGAACTAAGGATAGGTAGGCTTCATTCAAATCCTCCTCTTGCGGCAGTTCGACTGTAGCTTTCAATTTTGTTACATCTGAAATGAAATAGAATTTGACGACCTTCACTGTATTGGTTTTATGAAGGGTGGCTGAAAATTGGAATGGTGCATTGCGATGCTCTCAGTATCCTCCATACATATAAGAAGTTTTGAAAACTTATAATTCCAGTTGAAGTTATTATACATGCCGTGGAGGTAGACATTCTTAGTTTGATTAAGTAGTATAATAGTTCACATTCACTAGATTTCTTCATGCGTTTCATTAATTCATTCATCCGATTTTGGGTTTATAATGTGCAAGATACATTTGTTTGTAACGTCTTAAGCTAAAAGTATCGACGATCTATGTCTTATATGAAGCCATATTGTTTACAGAAAAATGGCTATTGCAGTCAAGGTAGTAGACGAAGTTCGTAATATCTTGTCATTTTGAAGATGTACTATGTCATGGTCGTTTTACATTATTTCAAAGGGATTTTATATTGTTACATGGTGACCTTCCAGAAGACGTATGTTATCTTGCATGGGAAGTTATACTGCTCTAAGATTCCAAATACTGTCATGTAAGTTATTCACACACCTTTGAAATTTAGAAGTTTTGAGAGGGGTTGAAAAAATTCTGTGACGTAAAATTTGATGGTGCACACAGCCGATGTTGGATGGTAAATGTCACTTAATCGTTCTTCTGTAGTTTGACCAACAACTCGCAATACTATATTCTTGTATATGCTGGAAAGGATTAAAAGCGTTCAATACATCATTGTTGAAACACATTTTAAAACAAAATTATTTTCATACATTTTCATACGATGCCACACCGTCTACATAAGGGAAGGGTATATTATCACCTGTATACATATATGTCTTTTCACATATAATTGGCAACGTTTTTCATAATGAAAAGTTTGTATACTACCCCTGTAATAAATACTTGGAAAAGACATGATTATTAACAATTCGATAAGAAAACTATTAAGAGGCAAAAATCACTTACTTTTGAAGCCAATTCAGCCGACTCTGTTCGTAATTTATTTCATAAACAGATGTTTTAGGATCCCTGAAATTAAAATTGCTCATCAACTTCTTTCCTTTTTTCCAATGTTTTTGTCTCCATTTTAATCTAAGACGCTTTCTATCACATTCCCGTTATAATGACGTTTTTTTAATCAATTAAAGCGTGTCAACCTGTTTTTGATAACAATGGCGAATTATGGGATGGCAAAACCCCAATATTTCTCTCCTGTCGTTATACCACGATTACCAAAAATTGTCCTTTATAGGAATGTGACCTTCGTTTGAATTTGTATCATCATAATGATGAAATATGATACTAGCAAAACGATAAGTGTTCATGATACAGACTCTGTCGGGGTGTAAGAATCTCGAGGCTTTGATATGTCATAGTTGTAAATGTGTACGGATAATCCGGGGTAGATCAATGCTCAAAGGTTTTACCAAGGATCAGCTAGAAAAGAGGATTTCTGAGAGCCTAAGTTGTTATTATAAAATTGTGATTAATTTCTTTCTTTCTGACCTCTTCAAAGTTAAGACTTGTTGTTCTGCTTTATCACAATAGCCTTTGACAATAGGTATAATAGCTTCTTCAGCCAACACTAACTGACGTATTTTAGAAAGGGACGATGTTATACCACAAACAGAGCGGGTATGCCACAAAACTACTGAGCACACTATCAAATGTCTGAAAGGAAAAATACTGTACATGTTCGAATCTTTTCAACCGAACTTAAGACCTGAGAGACTCACACCTATTTTAAGTCTTGAAGCAGATACCTATGCAAGGTCCTCTTCAGTTAGTACCCTGGACTGGAGAGGCTAATAAGATTGAAAAAATTGCAGAGTTTATTTGCAAAATGGTCTTTATTATACAAATTTTACGTTTTGAGTAAAAGGCAATTATTTGTCACCGATATCTGCTCCAGTTTTATGTTAGTGACAAGGTACATTTGCTGAGAAAAAAATTCTAAATCTCATTCAATTAGTTTTAAGTTAAAAATAGTTTGAAATAATATTTTTGGAAAATGGTCCATATCCATAACGTCATTTTTTTTCGCAAAATTATGTATATCGATAATCGTACTGATATAGGACAGATAAACCACCGGATACGACCACTTGCTAAATGCATTATCGCCGTCACAGATCAAACTGAATATTTCAGCCGGTCATGAATAGATTTGATAAAGGCCTTTTAACTTTGGATTAGGATTAACTTTGGTTAACATTAGGCAAGTTTGGGTTTTATCCTGTATCTGAATCTATGGTTAACTTGCTGAATTACCATCTCGATTTCAGATAGCATTTATCATTAACAGCTAACAAGTTATGTTGATTCTGCTATATAGATATCGTGTGGAAGGAAATAAAAAACCACAACGGTTTTTTTTTCAAACTCATCAGCTGAATTCATAAATATAGAATGTAAATAAAAACTATTAACAAAATAACAATCAACAATGAAATATATAATGAGGAGATGATTGGAACAGGTAACATAAGGTAACAACTAAAGAACTTTATACATCACATCCACAGGTTATGTCATGTCATACGGTGTTATCTCTGTTGAATAAGGGCCTAAATAGTAAAAAAAAACATGCTGACTAATATTTATAGGGCTATAACATGTGAGTAGAGAAAGTGTTTATAGAGATTTATTATTCAATATTTATGTCAGTATAACATCACCAGTAAGTGTGCAATGAAGAATGTTTCCAAAACTGCAAAATAACATCAGTTTCATCACTACCATCGTGATGATGTCATTTCTCAACTTCGTGTTCTGTTTTCAGTTTTCGTATTTTGTCTTTAGATTACGCTTTATCCAACATCAATACATATTTCTATGGAATTTGGGAAATGCAAATAAAGGGAATATATTTGCACCGCAAAATCCGTTTCTCTCAAAATGTTTTAAGTCATTGATAGGTCTCAGATCAGACACAGCCATCAGGCCTATACACTGTTTAAAATAAGCTAAGCGTGAAACTGGTATAATAAACTGTTTTATTCGGAAAAATGTATAGAAATTAAAGAAAATAGTCATTAGACCTATCTATCGTAATGTTCTTTAAGCTGCTCAGCCATGTTTTTTGTGAAAAAAAAAATCTAAAATAAGAGTGTCTATTCGCCACACGTGGTAAATTTTTAGATAACAGTTTTTATGGTGCTTTTATGGTTCTGGAATACCTAACAATATTATACCAAGCTTATGGCGACCGCCTACAGAGTTGATTTTTTAGCTAGTGGGGCTTACCTGCAAAAGATCATGATGGCATAGTAAATTTCATAAGACGAGTCAAGAAACATTACAATGTGTCTAATTTGACCATGACAAATCCCTATTTTCGTTTTATAGTTTATTAATATTCAGATTAAGCAAACATTTTCAAACATATTCGCCATAAATCAATTTCAAAATTAAAATTTCAGAACATTCTTGTGAAATATCACAAAATGAATTTTGCATAATCGAGAATAAGTATCATCTCAAAAAAAAACTCAAATTTGGCGTTCACGTTTTGCAAACAAACACTTCATTTATCTCGGGGATTTGACCTGAAACACTGGGGTCATATAGGGACTCTCAGGGATAAAATCACAGACGATTATTAGTTCAGGAGCCAGTAGAGTGGCGTTAAAGCATTTGGGAAGAAAGTCTGAAGATCAACCATATACCCCCTTCATAACAGAATATCAATACTTCTCAAGCAACACCTATTCAGTAATTCAGAAGCACACAACAAAGTTAAATTGTTTAAATAACTAAATGAATTAATGTAGAATAGAAAGAACTTACCGTAGGACAGTCATATTGAAAGTTTAACAGAACAGTTTAATATCTACAAACAAGCAATTGTAAAGCGGATGTAATACAATAACAAGTGATGATGTACCAGATGTGAACGACAAAACTGATATATTTGTGCACAGGTGTTTTAGTAGAGCGGTAGCGTGCTCCCTTTAAAGCATAGTTCACGATGAAAGGTTTCAGTGACGATACAAGAGATATTAATCTTTTAAAACATTGTTCAAATCACCTTATTATGTATGTTTTTCTCAGAAATTTTAATCATGATGTTAATGATACGAATATCACAAAAGGATGAAAACTATTATATATACATAGAAGCTATTTTTATATTTGTATGAAACTTATCTGTAGGATTGTATTGTGATATTGTAAACAATGTGCAAATTGAATTAGATTCATTAAACTTACACATTGACCTTGACCACAGGAAGCGGACTCAAAATGTGGGTGCCATAGAGGATTAGCGCTCACTTATGAGGAGGGTTTGGAAATTTTGAATATAAGGGTTGATTTTTGTTTGCAGTTAAAGCCTTTCCAGACGACAGCAACACAAATAGCCAACAACGAAAACAAAACACAACAACAACAATCATGACCACAACAACATTATTTATATACACAGTCATTAGTCATAAATTGATATAAAACACGCTCGTGTATGATTATATTTACATCGTTATTCATACACAATAGATATTGTCATCAGAGATTACTCGACAATATTGATTAACTGCAAATGCATTTTATATTTCCTCAGCCAAAGTAAATATTGAAAGGGATACAGTCTTCTATTTATTGTTGCTTTGACTGAATGTTTAAAGTTTAAATATGATCAGGTTTCAATTTAAGCAGTATCAAATCGCATCGCACTTTCCTATGATTAGCAATCAAATTGTATATTTTTCGTTAGAATTTTCTACCAAATCTAGAAATATACAGCAACATTCGCTTATATATGTAACCTGAAGGAGCTATCATCACTGGGCGAGTTCGATCTGACATCTTTAACTGGAGCATTTTGAATTTTTCGGAATTTTTATGAATTTCGTTTCACAAACCAGTTTTATGTTACAAAGAGGGGTACATGCTTGTGTTACAAGGTGTTACGTGGGAGGGGGTTGATGTCAAAAATGCCCTTTTTGAAGAACACCTATACCTTTACATTTATTCTAAATGATCTAATGAATCAAGGGGTTGCATTATTAAACCCTAACCCGTTATTAACGTTATCATATAGCTATAATTGTGTACAATCATCCGCTTAATTAATCCAACAATCAAAGGCGTGTAAAGCAATTAGTTACAACACAATAGTCAGCATTAATCAGGAACAGTTTTAATACAGATACAAAGCCATGAAAACGCTAGAAATTTTTGAAGCATATTTACGATTTGGGAAGTACGTAGGTCTTGTTCGACCAAACGTTGATGTCCATGGAAGATACAAGGGTCTGAAACAGGTCATGCTATGGATACAGTTTACAGTAGTGCTGATTATTCTATGGTCTGGAGTGATAAAATTAATCATGAGTTTAACGATAGAAGATGACATAGAAAATAGAGGCCTGACATTTCTGTGTGCTATAGCTTTTTTTACTGGAACGGCTTTTATATCAACAACAACGTATATAGCAATTTACAGAGAGTTTGACAAGTTCTGCTCACTTCTGGATAATCATAGAAAATGTTTTGGAGATCATGATGGTTATTCGTGGATACATAAATCAAGAAACGCGCGACTGACTCTGTGGGTATCCATACCACTTATGGCCATACTCTGTGGTATATTTATCTTGTTTACGTATTATAATAACGGAGACTTGGCTAACTTATTTTGGCCCTTTAATTTCAACACAGTCCTGGATTCTGTTATAACCATGGTGTACTATATAACATTCCTCTTTTTCAACGTGTGGCATCAATTGCTGACAGGGTTTTTCTTCATTTCTTCCTCATTGTTATTTATTAAGGAATTCAAGTTAATCAACAACAAATTGAAAACAGTAATATCAGAGTCAACAAAATCTATGTCACCACACGTGGAGGTTATTCGGCAAGAACATGCCAGTCTTGTGGGCTGCTTTGAAAGCAATAAGAGCCTATTTAAACATTATATATTTGCTATTTACGCTGTAACTGTGCCAGCTATTGGTTTCTTCTTGTATGGTGCTATCCGTGGTAAAATGCATCTGGCTGAGATTGTAGCTTTGTTTTGTATGGCACTGATGAATTCATTGGCAAATTTGTCTTACACGCTTATAGGCGCGACTCTTCATGCAAAAGTAAGTAGTGTATTATTTTTATTCATCTAGAAAACTGACATCTAGCATCTAGATCTACGAGATGGTTTACGAGTTAGTTGACATCTAGACTATTGAATCATCAAGACTATACGAGTCTGTCGACATCTAGTATCTAGATCCATCAAGGCTGTGCTTGTCACTCGACATCTAGCATCATGTTCTGTCAAGACTATACGAGTCAGTCTAGCATCTTGTTCCGTCAATTCCATACGAGTCAGTCGACATTTAGCATCTAGCCCATCAAGGCTTTACGAGTCAGTCGACATTTCATCTAGATCCACCAAGACTTTACGAGTCAGTCGAAATTTAGTATCTAGGCCTGTCAAGGTTGTAGGAGTCAATCCGCGTCTAGCATCTAGATCGATCAAGGCTGCACGAGTCAGTTGACTTCTAACATCTAGATCCATCAAGACTGTACGCGTCAATCGACCTTTAGCATCCAGATCCATTAAGGCTGTACGCGTCAGTCGAAATTTAGCATCAAGAATCATCAAGGCTGTCTAGCATTTTGTTCCATCGAGACTGTATGAAGAGTCAGTCCACATTACGTATGTTTCAGGCTCATGAACCATATGAAATATTAAACAGAGTGGATATCCTAGAAGTCTCTGATAAAACAGCAGAATCGGTAAGTATAAGCATTTACACAAACACCATCTGGCAAATCAAGAATATCTTCAATACACATTATATCATTATCTGAAAGGAGCACCCATTTTGTGAAGCAAGTCGCCGCTACTTTACCACTGTCAAATTGATTATTTTTGGGTGCTCAAATTCAATGATGCTTGCCATGCTTGTACTCAGATGTTATGTATATTGTATTTGTAAATATTTGTATTATATATATATATAAATCCAAATCCTTACAGGTGTCCTTATTTATGAAAAGATTAACAGGCCCACCAATAAGTTATTCTATATATGGTATGATGACTCTCGATTCTAGTGCTATCTTACAGGTATGTTTAACTGTTATACTTTATATGATATGATGATACAAGACGGTATGTTTAACAATAGATTATACTATATTTGGTATGATGACTCTCGATTCTAGTGGTATCTTACAGGTATGTTTAACTGTAGGTTATACTTTATATGATATGATGATACAAGACGGTATGTTAAACAATAGATTATACTATATATGGTATGATGACTCTCGATTCTAGTGCTATCTTACAGGTATGTTTAACTGTAGGTTATACTTTATATGATATGATGATACAAGACGGTATGTTTAACAATAGATTATACTATATATGGTATGATACTAGATTCTAGTACTATCTTACAGGTATGTTTAACAGTAGATTATACTATATATGGTATGATACTAGATTTTAGTGCTATACTACAGGTATGTTTAACAGTAGATTATACTATATATGGTATGATACTAGATTCTAGTGCTATCCTACAGCTATGTTTAACAATAGATTATACTACATGTATATATGATGTGATGATACTAGATTCTAGTACTAAACTACCGGTATGTTTAACAATAGATTATACTATATATGGTATGATACTAGATTTTAGTGCTATACTACAGGTATGTTTAACAGTAGATTATACTATATATGGTATGATACTAGATTATATGGTATGATACTAGATTCTAGTGCTATTCTACAGGTATGTTTAACAATAGATTATACTATATATGGTATGATACTAGATTCTAGTGCTATTCTACAGCTATGTTTAACAGTAGATTATACTACATGTATATATGATGTGATGATACTAGATTCTAGTACTATCCTACCGGTATGTTTAACAATAGATTATACTACATATGGTATGATACTAGATACTAGTGTTATTCTACCGGTATGTTTAACAATAGATTATACTATATATGATATGATACTAGATTCTAGTGCTATTCTACAGGTATGTTTAACAATAGATTATACAATATGTGGTATGATACTAGATTCTAGTGCTATCCTACAGGTATGTTTAACAGTAGATTATACTATATATAGTATGGTGATACTAGATTCTAGTGCTATTCTACCGGTATGTTTAACAGTAGATTATACTATATATGATATGATACTAGATTCTAGTGCTATACTACAGGTTCGTTTGACTTAGGGTTATACTTAACGTAGTGTTTTCCTCAATCAGTTTTGTAATTTATTTTTCAGTTATTTGGTACATTGGTAACATATGCTATAGTAATGTTACAGTTTGCAGGATCACCCTCCTCTACTATTGTCCAATGTTACAATACAACTTACTAATGTGGTATGAGATAGGGATACACATACATCTAAATCCCTTAAGTATAACTTAAAATACAGATTACACAAACAATAACATGTACTTAAGTACGTGCAAAAATATAGGTCACATGAGATCAAATCGCGTGATATAACAAACAAATACAGAAAATCTTTTAAGATGTCCGGTCAAGATTTATCAAATATATACCTGTTCGAGTTAAATACTTTTATTGCTGGGTCGTTCGTTTTATTATAAATCATAGATATAGTACTTATTTCATTTCATATGTTGTTTGATTTTGTCGGCATCTAGGCTGTGATTCGTGGATTGTAATTTGCATGTCTACAAGTCAGTTTTCTTCTCTTTACCTTCATGGCTTATTTCAATTGCTAAATTTTATTATTTAGTGATAAGGATAACTGTATCGTTCTATTGAAGATCAAAGGGTAACGTCACATCTGTATGTTAATGAAAGAGAATGTGTGGGTTAACGACAAATGCAATATTTTTTTCGATCCACTTCTTCCCACTTTTTGTCAAATACATTCTATTTCATCGATAAGTTATTGGTTCAAATTCACTATCGCTTCCTTTCTTTGTTTAACACTGAAATATTTATTTTCACATTGTCAATTTTGTGTTTTGACTTACCAACAACATTGATTTTATTTAATGGAAATCACAATTGAATTTTATCATTGTTCTAGGCTTATTGTTGTAGGAATTACGGTAATGATATCGATATGAGAGTAATTGTTTATAAATTTTCAATCTAATTAAAAGGAATTTACAAATTAGTTTGTTTTTGTTTAATGGACACAAATCAATCAGTATCAAAATCCCACAATATTGTGTAAAATGTTAGGCACTTATAAAGAATGATTATCAAAGAGATGAATCCAATGTATGATGACTTTTCTCCGTAGAATCATTTTTATATCCTTTATTGTTGGTTAAACGTACACTTCCGGTTCTTTAAAACTTGGTGATCGACATTGTTTGCAACATCCGGTTACGGTAGAGTCAGATTTATCTCCCTTGAAATTGGGTAAGATAGGAACATATTTTGAGCATGCTAATTTGTCTAGATATTTTTGTAAAAATGGTATATCATAAACATGTGATGAACTGCCGTCGTCTGAATCATGTTTGTCCGTTTCCCGCCAAGCTTTTATTCCCCTTTCTTCGTCAGACCCTGGAAAAAAAACTTTAATAATAAATGAATTTATCGCAATAATAAAGCATTTCTTACAGTTCTTCAACATGTGCTTATCAAAATTCAAAATCCAAACAATAACAGTTAATTATAAACTTTTATTATGATTAAAATTCTTGAAAGATATGATATAGAACATAAAATAATCATGGCACATGAATTCACATGGCGATGGTGCTGCCAATAACAAACTAGTTTTCTAAAACTTTATAATGAAAACATCGGATGACATGATTGGAATGCACATAGGAATATTGTAGGATCAAACAAGAAAAAGTTGGTGGTTAACGGGATTTACCTGGAATTGTGTTATCTAAGAAAAATGCCAATAAACCTGCCACAAACATGTTGGTACTCAATAATACTGTAAATATCTGATCAACAAAAACACTGCCTACAAAAATGAAACTGAGTTTTAAGATCTCTCTCTCCCAAAGTAGTTTACTGCTAGCTTGTCAACTATAAAACTACATCTTTGTTGTGGTTCAAGAACTGTTTCGTCACATATTGCCATAATTCATTAAAATATTTGTGACAGCGAAAGGCGTGAACATTTTTGGCTCGTTGGTAGATGAAAAGTTAACGTTCGCTTCCAGCGGATGCTGATATCGCAAACAATGTAGTTGTTGGTAGTCGTAGTAGTTGGTAGTTTGGTTGGTTCAAATTAGGAGAACATGAAATTTACCTGTACTTATAGGCGAGGAAGATTGTATTTTCAACCAGGTTGGTACAGATAATGCAAACACCAACGGAACACCAATAACAAATAGATTTCTAGAAGAGTTAAGATTCACAAATTGTAAATTAGAGAGACCAACTGCAGTCACCATACCTAAAATATGACACATAATAAGATACTATTAGAATACTCGATGTTCTAAATTTGCGTTACATGTATCGATAAATTACGGGTTATTTTTTTAATAATATAACAACATGGTTAAGAAGGTGATACAGGGATGCCGCTGCTGAAGGTAAACTGGTACCATGTTATGTTCGCTTATCGCTACACTAACAACAGGTACGGCCTAAATCTCATTTAGCGAGATGTCGTCTATTTATGCGAAAACAACATCATACCAGTTTATAGATGGAATGGGGGACCAGTTTATGCTGAATTTATAACTAGAAGGTAATTTTTGTTTATATATCATCATAATAGATGAGCTGGTGACACAAGGGGTGTCACTTCCGGTCGTGCTAGTAATACACATAGAGCATTCGTATGACGTCACAGCTAGAGCGTGCGCTTTCGTGTGACGCAATACCCTGAATTAATTTTATGGGCTTTTCTTTTGGTCAAATTTGATGCGTTTTCCAGGTTTTACAGAGACCTTGAAGCTTGACTTTGAAGCTGTGCGATGACGAAAGTTTTTAATTTGCTCAATGATCATAAATGCTGAGTTAATACCTTACCAAACATGACGAAAAATAGTCCACCAACAATAGAATCTGGTAGAGTAACAAATAATGCTCCAAATTTGGTAAAACAGCCCAAAAACAGCATTATAACTGCACCCACTTGTGTTACAATTCGACTTCCAACCTGTGATGAAAATGGTTATTTGGATTCAGCCAAAAAGTTTTCTGGAATTTATCGACACAAACTAAAAAGAGGTGCATAGAAAAGCAGCCGATCACTTTCACAATTCACTTTCTTAATACACATAAAATATCAATAGAGGTTTAATGCTGAGCACATACTCGTGTGTCAAAAGGAATCAAACGGTTTTGAATACCTTTGTAATGCCAATCGCACCAATATTTTCACTGTAGGATGTGGTGCATCCTGGCGATCCAATACCAGCACCAATTACACAGGCTACCCCTTCCATTCCAATACCTGAAATTGTTACAATACCATAGTAGATTCTACACTTTGTCATAATACCACTATCAGTTCACATATCAAAATCCAAAACATCATGACTAAAATAACGCATTGATGCTGCCTGACTGAAGAGTTTTTTGGGCATTAATCACGGGGCTTTTAACCGGATTTCATTTTGGGATACTAAGAACTATTTCTCAAAAATGTCTGGTAATGGATTTTGAAATGGCATTATTTTCTTTAGTATAACACTGAATCAAAAAGATGGATAACGCCTTACAAAATGGAATGGAATCTTTTGGGAAAGATGACAACATCATTTGCCGGTTAAAAACGAAATAGTTTACCTCTGCTAACAGCACTCCCTGGTGGTGGTGGAGCATTGGCTAATCTTGCACATGCATAATAATCACCTACCGATTCAACTATAGTGGCAAATACTCCAGCTAACATACCAAAAACACCAGCAAGACTAATAGTTGGCATTCCCCATTGTCCTAAAAAATAATCATGTAATGGTTGAAATATAACACACACGTAAAGCAGTAAAATGAACTGTAGGGCCAAACTCAGTGTATAGATAGTTTGTCGAAGTGACACCTGGAGTCCATCCTTTCACTAGAATGCTTTAAAGTGAACAGCACAAAATACATGAACCACTGGTTTTGAGAAACACAAAGATATTTCAGAACGTGTAAGTGATTATTGTTTATTACCTTGGCTACGAAATATATCAACCAATGGTTCAAATACAGGGTCAAGCAAGGCACCCCGATGACCCAATTAGAGAAGGAGGAAACAGACATTTAAACAATTACATTAAATCTTAGTAGACATATATTTTCTCATAAGGTCACGTGTGTCTTTTATATTGGTGCTGGTTACAAAAGTTGTAGAGCAGATATAAAAAGTGAGGCATGAAACATGTTGGTTTCAATATTAAATCTGTTTTAAATTCAACACCATTTTCAACACATCTTTGAAATAAAATAAGTTAGAGTTACCAGGGTAAGGAAATCTAAACCAATCAGCTTTTTCTAAAACAGCAATCTTAACATCTGTTCGAGCCTTATAGCCCCAACCATTTTTATCATCTGGTAAGGCACCACTAGCCGTTAGTATAATACATATAACCCAAGCTGTTACTATAGCTAACATAATCTGGAAAAGCAATGGTTTCCATTATGTTGGAATTAAGATTGCGGGATTTTATGAAAAACCAAACAGAGAGGAGACCATCTTCTCAATGACGAGTTATTATGAACTCAGTCTTATGCCTTTGCTGCAATAGCTACTAGTCTTGTATCACGAAATATATCTAATTGAATATAAGACCCTTATAACTCTTATTGCTTACCGGAAATAGTGTAAATATGGATAAAGTCACTCTCCTAAATCCAGATCCACGTTGATATGTACAGCATGGAATTTTAACCTTTTTTTTACATATTGTGAAAAGATTACTATCAAAGCAACCGTCCTGAAAATGATAAGAAATCGAGGTCGTTACACAAGAATTATGTTGTTTGTACTTCAAATCTCTCACATTGCCCTTTGAAGTTTTAATGGAATAAATTCTATCGTTGGTTTCCAAAAAACATGATTTTGAATTATTTCATTCTAGATTGTGGTAGTTCTATGTACAATGTTTTATATCGCAGCCTTTCGAACTTACGTGATAGCAATCCACCATTGGTTTTCACTTTTCTGATAAGCAGGATTAAAGATGGACAATCCTATCATGGCGATAGTTGGTGTTACAGTTAGTGGTCCAATAAACCTCAACATAACACCTAGTAATCCACTACAACCAATAACTAGTTGAAATAAAGATGCTATCATAATGGCTCCAGTCACCTGAAATTAAATGGAGTTTATCGTACTACTTTTCTGAAACCAATTCAATAGTACTGTATGGGTCAATGAGGACGTCTTACTTGCTCCTGTTATAGACGATCTTTTCTCCATGATAATTGAGGAATTAAGACATACCTATCCCCAAAATAAATGGACATACCTCAATGATTCTGGTTTGCCAGATCTCTCGATGAACAGGTCCTCCTATTTCTGGTAAAGTTTCATTGTCTGTGGAAAAAAAGATAGACTTCCAGACAAAGAAAACTCCCACTGGCATCTTTCATTTTAAATCAAAATATACAACTAGGGCAACTACTCATATTAAATATTTTTGAATTATACCGAAAAACAATATGATTTCTACCAAGTTTCGTAGAAATCTGTTAGGTATTATTTCATTTGCAGTGCATAGGACCAATAGAGGGCGGACGAAAAAAGGATGGACGGAGGGCGATGGATAGTCGGACATGGGTGACGCCAATATTCGCTCCACATTTCATGAGCAATAGAGCACATCATCTAGCTGATTTTGTGTTGTTCAATTTGTAATGACTCGGTACTGTATTTAGAATGACAATATTATTATGTTATATGGTTGGATTTGACGGTACGGACATTGGCGAATACTTTTATGAAATAGCATTGAATCAGTCTATATTTCTCCGAAGGTAATAGTAGCAGTGTGTATTGCATCGTGTCCAAACCACACCATTCATCATACTTCCTCGGAGCCGTGGTAATACATGTTAGGAAAACAACGTATTCATAGATAAATATTGTCCAATCAAAATTGGCCCTGGAATCTTTCTAGGAAATCTAAGCCAATCAAATAAACTACTCGTTATGACGCTTTGTTTGTCAACGTAAACAAAACGAAAGCGACCACAAACCGAAGTGTTGTGGGCTTAGTTTAATACGGGTTAATAAGACCATGTCAAAATCCGTATTCGAGATATACGATGTGTTTAACGGTATACTTACAATTTTTAATATTGAAAGGACAGTCTGTTGGTTTGTATATAGCCATCAGAGAGAAGACCGGAGTAATAAAAGCCGGACTACAACTTTGAACGATTGGCAGCCTGAAATTTGAAAAGAATATCGGGAGATTTCTTATTAACAAAAAGCAAAATCTTTCATCTTCGGTGCATATTCTTAACCCTTTAACATGTAATTTGAGCGGTAAGCAAAATTAATTTTTTTTCTGTAATTCAGTAAATTGAACAATTTTGGAAAAAAATTTGGTGATTTTGTATTAATACATTTCTATAGCACAGTCGGTTAGAGCGTTGGTTCTTTACATGACGTCATTTCATTCGTTAAGGTTAGCAAATGGCGGCTGTGGGTTCCGATCTCGATCGGCGTCTGAAAGTCCATCTTCACTCATAATTCTACGAATTTCTAAATTAAAAAACTATAATCCATGGCGCTGTTTTGTTAAAAACGATGTGTTAAAAATTGATTTGTCATAGCAAGTTATAATAGAATATCGCTGACAAGACGTTGCTTACCGTATACCAAAGAATGTTTGTATCAGAGTTGAAAGTCCAGATACAAATATTACTGTACCAATAACCTGGGCTAGGCCTAGTGTATCACCTTCTAAACATAATGCTCCAGATATAATCAGGGGGTAGGCAAATGTTCCTCCTAAACATGTTAGGAAGACCTGAAATGACAACGAAGATGTGCATGCCCCTTCCCCTACTGTTTCATAAACAAGCCCAGACTTACACTAATCCAATATAACTAAAACTAAATAACGGAACACAATTTTATGGTATACTACTCATTAGTTTTATTACACACTGCGTTTCAACAATCTACATTGAAGTGACACTTCACCTGATGGACGGGGGGGGGGGGGGATGCAACCGACGGACAGGGGCGACGGCAATATACGTCCACATTTCTATGTGGGCGTATGATTAAAACTAGGATACAATTTGCTATCTATTTCGTTTTCTGTTATTTTTAGTCTCCATGGTATTGTAAAAAGTATTCTACCAAACAACCAATCAAAGCATGGCCGTTTCTTGTTTTAAAAAAGAGTTATGGGATATCGGAACCTAAAGTAGAGATATGACGGCCTCTTTCGGTTTCGCTATCGCACAATTCCTTATTTTATCAAGACACCCTTCGATTAGTAGGAATACTTCTTTTGGAAGAGGCCTTGATAGAAAACACTCTCCCTTTAACCTGGGAGTTTGCTGTAATTGGCTCATTATGGCACTGTATCTGGTTCAAAATTATTATCATTTCGTTTCTAATGAAAAATAAACTACCGAAAGGAAAGATAACTCCGTATATATTCCGTGCAATTTTTCAATTCACATGTGCTATCAATTTTCTACTTATGGCATGTGCCTGATAGGCCTAATTATATTTTACAATATTAATTTGTCATCTTCTAATAATGAAAATGATATGCAGAAAATGTCACGTGATCTAATTTAATTTCCGTAATATTCAAGGTACGAAAAGACTATCCGAAGATCGCGATCCAGCTAACACGATCCAGTGGTGCAGTTCCAAAGGTTACATGTGATTTTAAGAATTAGTACAATCAGATTTGGATCCTATTTTGAACCAGAGACAGCGCCATAGGTCATTCGTATAGACAAACTGTGTCTTCATCAGCTTCAAACTATGTGAAGAACCTAAACACTCCTTCCTTACCTGACAACCAAGTAATAACGTGATGTGCCATGGCGGTATGTCTGATACACCATATAATACTGTACTGGCTCGGTTACGTTCGTCCGCCTCTCTATCCGTCTTATCCATATTAATAAACTTTTCTTTAAAACATTACAATTTACTGATTTCATTTTCTGATATTGTGAAAGTGCAATGACACGAGGCTGCATAAATTTCAAACTTTCCCACGCCAGAAAAGTATGTTTCCACTAAAAATGTCAATTGAAAGATATCGTAATTATGCATAATAATAGACCAGGAGTGAAAACAAACACATTAAGAAATAAAAATTGTGTTATGCACTAAAACATATCAGGTCATTGTACCAAAATTTGATGAAAGCTTTTTTAGACTGTCATTATACCGGAAGTAGACATTGGAAATCAAATTTGAAAGTATCCAACCTTAAAGGGATTGTAAAAGAGGTTTTCTAAATTATGTATGTGTATCGGGGTCACTTATAGCATCAATTTGCACCATTCCAATTTTCAGTCAGACGTCTGTGGTTCCTGAAATTCGACAAAAAATAAGTGTTTGATAACGTCACAAATCGCAAAATAAGCATTGAGGAATACGCACCCCTTAGAACTCGATTTGGAAGAATATAAAAGATGGAATTATGTTGACCAATGTGTAAACCTCAGTTAGGTAAATAATTATCTATTAATGGTGACTTTAAATAGCAATCACTTTACTTATTCTGAATATAAAAAGTCGTCTCGCCCTGATGATAATGAAAGGGTGACATACCACAAACCCCTAACTGTTTTGTAAACAGGTAAACAAGAAATAGTTAAAAACTAGTGAGGCTGAAACGTCTGGATGGAAACGAGATATAAATTTTTTTTTAATAAAATTGCAATGATCAAAACTTGCGACACAAACTCCAAATATTAGATGAAAATGATACAAACGTTGTATTATCTATAATAATTTCAGCAGGCCTTCAAATTAGCTTCAACTTGGTTGGATGTTTGTGGGAATTACGCGACTAACGAAGGCAGATAAAAACGCCATCTGTTGATTAACCGCAGAGTTATCCCGATGAAGCATCTTGCATTGAGGGGCGTACTACCCTATGCTCCCCTTTCACATAAGGCCCTTTGTCATTAGTGCCCTCAACAAACACTTGGTTTCAATGACCTTATACTCCTACTTATATGTTGGCACACTGAGCTTAAAGAACTTAAACAAATTGTACCTTCACAGTTTTCACTTTCACTTCACTTTTTGAGAGTTTCAATTTCCATTAATCTTTTAGCAACACTTGGTTCTTGTTAAGTGGATGGAAGTCGTTTTAATTTTCACGAAATTTGTTTATCATTCCAACTGTCAGTCATTCACACTGCCCTTTATCTAGCATTCGTCAGTATCGCATTACAATTATGCATTGGGCTGAATTTCTAATTAGATATCGTATTTTTGTCATTCGCCGTCATGTATATCATATTATCACAATTACAAGTTAGCGGCATTTCTAACTAAAAATTGCAGACTCGTTCATCTAGTTCCTCTTTGTCTACGTACAACCTGTACGAAAGAGGTACTGGAAAGGTTGCTTAATATCTTTGTAATTGACCGAGGCTATAGCGGCACTTGAATCTGATTGGTTGTAAATCCGCATCCGTTTTGGTGATAGGAAAAATTAATTAAAATAATTCAGTTAATATGACAATGTCTTCGAATTTTAATTCTTTGCCCGAAAATAGATAAATATAACATCCAAACTGACAAAACTGCTAATTTGTTTCAGTTGTAAACAAGTCGTCTGAAATTATGTGCCTGCGAAACACGCGTGGGAAACACGTCGAAACGTTGCATAAAACTTTAACCAGTGATTGTTGTTCCATAGAGCTGTGTCTATATATGAGAATAATTGTTTATAAATTTGCAATCAAAATTAAAAAATTGTTTTTTGTTTAATGGACACAAGTCAATCAGTATCAAAATTCAACCATGTGTAAAATGTTAGGCACTTATAAAGAATGATTATCAAAGAGATGAATCCAATGTATGATGGTATATCATAAACATGTGATGAACTGCCGTCGTCTGAATTATTTTTGTCCGTTTTATTCCCCTTTCTTTGTCAGATCCTGGAAAATGGAGAAAAAAACTTTGAATTCATCTGAATAATAAAGAATTTGCTTATCCATAATATTTTATTATGATTAAAATTCTTGAAAGATATGATATAGAACATAACATAATCATGGCACGTGAATTCACATGGCGAGGGTGCTGCCAATAACAAAATAGTTTTCTAAAACTTTATAATGAAAACATCGGATGACATGATTGAAATACGAATACTGTAGGATCAAAAAAGATAGCTTGACAGGCAAGGTAATATACGCCCACTAGCGGATTAGATTTTAAATAATAATATTTGGCAGTACAGTAACAATTACCAGTATGAAATATTGAACCTTCAGTCATACACTTCTTTTGATCGTTTTGGGTCGATACTGAACAATTTAATATTACCAACTTTTGTCAAAATACGACAAGAATCATGCCTTTTAACTCAAAAATGAAAGCTCATTTCATGCGGGTGTTTACGCTGTTTACCAGCAATAGTGTCATTAAACGTGAAATGGCGTTTCATAGTCTCAGGATACAGACAACTTTTATCGCCCCCTATTCTTGTAAAAATTGTGCCGATTACGCAAATTAATGAACTTTACTGCTACTTTGTCTACAATTGATTCTTTGCTTTGATTTAAAATATTTGTTCGTCACCTATTGCTATAATTCATAAGACTAATTCCTACAGCGAAAGGTATGAACATTTCTTACTTCTTTTAATAAACCTGTATTAATAGGCGAAGAAGATTGTCCTTTCAACCAGGCTGGTACAGATAATGCAAACTACAACGGGTGATTTTACATTTTATGGAGTGTCTGATCTGACAGCAACAGTGCTAAATTTCAGTCAGTACATCACTTTGAAAATTAATTTAAGATGGAAGGAAATGTTTGAACTGTCTGAAATTTGCTGTGGATATTCAGGATATATATAAGTACCCCTCTGCTAAGTTTAAATCGATAGCTCAACGGGAAGGGAAAGGGATCGAAACTGCAACAGTGCCAAATTTATTGCCTTCGTCAATTTCCTAATTATTCAATATTTAGAAAGTTATAATTTAAGACAGAAAACCTTAAATCTATTGATAAATAAGTAAGGGGTGAACGACATGAGGCTAGGGAAACTAGGCTGTTTCTAGAAATAGATCGAGCTAATATAATACTTAAATAAGACAATTTTATGGATGTATACTTCTTGAATATTTATTACTTTCAACGAAAACTGTTAGGCGAGTAGATGCTATGGGTTCGATTCCTCCTCAAGGTTAGAAAATTTCTGATGTCTGTATCTGTGCTTCTGAGAATCCGGTGTCGGCTTTCACCCCCTAATACCCATCCTTATCCGTGCCAGGCTATATGTATATCTCCTTGAAGGGGTTAATAACTTTCGAACTGTGTAAACGTCGATACTTCCCACTAACGCTGGACTGGAACACTGTCTTTTCCATCATCGTCTGCTAGGCGATTAGATGTCGTGGGTTCGAATCCTTCTCAAGATCAGAAAAATTCGTCCGTGTCTGTGCTTCCGAGAGTCGACCTGGTGTCGGCTGTCACCCCCTAATGCCTAAAATAATAATGTGATGACCTCCCCTTAACAAGATGGATGTAAACAATGGATACATAATAGAGTTGTAAATATCGAAGTTATTATATGCGTTAAGAGACGTCGTTTAGACAACGTGAGATTCGGACATACTCCACTAATTCATTTGCCTTTTGACATCACGAAATTTCTATAGCCATCCTATTAAATACTCAGGTTGAACTGAGGGATAAACTTAAATAAATATTTTGCAGAATATAGTATAGGGGGTCTGTAGATTCTAGTTGGGGTCTGTGGTCTTCCGATTATAAAGGTCTGCCATCGATCTTCCAACGGTCTGCAATCGACCTACGATCTATTTGGACTAATTTTTGGTCTAGATTTGAAATTTGATGTCTGAAATTGCACTTTCTTTCTTATTTTGTGAGATGATGAGAGAAGGATAATTCTGAAAATGTTGATGAAATGTAGTGGTCTACTTTCAGTTTTATTAGCTAAAGATTCTCATGGTTATGACGTATTGAATTTTCGTGTGAGGCGCTAAATTTTAAGCCAGATTATATCTCTCAGTTTATGGCTCTGGCCAATCGCCTTTTTCTTTAACGAAAATGTGAGTCACCATTTATGTGCTAATGAATGCTTTTGGAGAAATAAAATCGACCCACCGTTCTTATTTTTAAACCCGAAGACATTCTAAAAAATGATGACATGCAACTACAAATATTTGAAAAAGGTACAACAAATTGTATTAGAATCTCACATTGGTCGGAGAATTAGAGTTCTGCATTGCTGTGAGATGATCAATTCAAGGAGTACATCCCTTTCAGTATCAAATAATGTCTACTTTCATGACCCTTTTTATGACAACAGCACACCATGTCAATTTATTTACAAGTTATACAATAAATCAGATTTCAAGGACGTTCTCATAATAGAGAGGGATACATTGTGATGGGATGATCACCTTAGGAGTGGGAATGTTATTATTCGTGTAAGCCTAGTCTCATCAAATTCTAGCATACAATCGTATCACATGTCTCTGCATAATTTACAAATATCTCTGACACAAGGCGAGTGTCCAAGGATATCAAGGTATTAGACGGAGTTTGAAATGGCTCGACATTGTTAAGAACATAATGATGTAGCCCGACAACTCTGGTCCTACTCCTACAACGTGATTTACGGATGTAATATCGCCACTGTGTTCAGAATCAGCCCTCAAATGTCGTTTATTTCGTGATATTCGTTTGTCATGCCCACATTCAGTCCTTTATACCCATGTTTTAAACTCAAGCAATCACGACAACTAATTATGGGAATCTACTTTTCCAATTCAAACATGCAGTCTAACAGAAAACTTTGTGAGTAACCAACTACTCTATCTTAGACATCGCCATTATTAAATGTTGCAATAAGTAAAATGTTGTCCCCTCCCACCAAAGAAAAAAACTAATACAACTGTATATGACAGGTCAATATGATGTAAGCTGCGTATAGGATGTCGACATTTCATTTTAAACCACACTCTGATGCGATCATCTTATATCTCTTAATCTTTTAAATCTTTGTCTATCTGACCTGATCTCTAGCTGTACCGGGAAGTTACACCCTCATGATAAATATCTTTACTGACCACTATAAATAGTATTACCCTACTATCACAGCGTCATCTTGTACCCTTTACCAGTAAATACGGTCTGTTGCTACAGGAGGGCAAAATGGAAAAAATGGAAATCCCCGTCCACCCTCAAAAAGTCACTGCAACTAAACACCACACCCGAACACATTATTTGTCCCTTCCCTCCATCCCGACATGAGTGAAGTAAACCAATCGAAATAATAATAGAGTACAATAACGTTTTTTGCTATCATTATTCTGTTATCAGACCTGTTTTCTACTGCAGTCCCCCTTGCCCCTCATTGGATGACAAAAGACGTCATTGACGCGTAACTGTAAACCGATTTATACAATGGACATCGCCCGATTCAGTGTTAATATAGATAATTTGATCCAATCCCAAATACTACAAATATTTCAGTTAGTTGATTTAATGTATACATATAGGTCAAAGAAACCCACGCAGAATAAGTTTATTGCCACTATGTAATAAGAAACGTGGCGGAAATATTTATCAATTCTGGCTAATAGGGTTTTCCCTTTTTCTTGTAAATTTACTCTTAATTACGCTAAATGTTAACACCTGATCTGGTTGCAAATGTCTTGACTATATAGTCACATCAATTGGAGGGAAGTAAATTCCTATATCAATGAACCTAAACCAATGGTACTATACTCTTCGATACTTTTTCTTATCTCGAGGATCTAGTGTCATCATACCATATATAGTATAATCTACTGTTAAACATACCAGTAGCTTAGCACTAGAATCTAGTATTATATCATATATAGTATAATCTATTGTTAAACATACCTGTAGAATAGCACTAGAATCTAGTATCACCATACCATATATAGTATAATCTATTGTTAAACATACCTGTAAGATAGCACTAGAATCATCATATCATAATTATGTAGTATAATCTATTGTTAAACATACTGGTAGTATAGCACTAGAATCTAGTATCACCATATATAGTATGTATAATCTATTGTTAAAAATACCTGTAGTATAGCACTAGAATCTAGTATCATACCATATATAGAATAATCTATTGTTAAACATACCTGTAGTATAGTACTAGAATCTAGTTTCACCATATATAGAATAATCTATTGTTAAACATACCTGTAGTATAGTACTAGAATCTAGTTTCACCATACCATATATAGTATAATCTATTGTTAAAAATACCTGCAGAATAGCACTAGAATCTAGTATCATACCCTATATAGTATAATCTATTGTTAAACATACCTGTAGAATAGCACTAGAATCTAGTATCATACCATATATTGTATAATCTATTGTTAAACATACCTGTAAGATAGCACTAGAATCTAGTATCATCATACCATATATAGCATAACCTATTGTTAAACATACCTGTAAGATAGCACTAGAATCATCATATCATAATAATGTAGTATAATCTATTGTTAAACATACTGGTAGTATAGCACTAGAATCTAGTACCAAATCATAAATAGTATAATCTATTGTTAAACATACCTGTAGAATAGCACTAGAATCTAGTATCATACCATATATAGTATAATCTACTGTTAAACATACCTGTAGTATAGCACTAGAATCTAGTATCATATCATATGTAGTATAATCTATTGTTAAACATACCTGTAGTATAGCACTAGAATGTAGTATCATATCATATATAGTATAATCTATTGTTAAACATACCTGTAGAATAGCACTAGAATCTAATATCATACCATATATAGTATAATCTATTGTTAAACATACCGGTAGTATAGCACTAGAATCTAGTATCACCATACCATATATAGTATAATCTATTGTTAAACATACCTGTAGAATAGCACTAGAATCTAATATCATACCATATATAGTATAATCTATTGTTAAAAATACCTGTAGAATAGCACTAGAATCTAGTATCATACCATATATAGTATAATCTATTGTTAAACATACCTGTAGGACAGCACTAGAATCTAGTATCATACCATATATAGTATAATCTATTGTTAAACATACCTGTAGAATAGCACTGGAATCTAGTATCATACCATATATAGTATAATCTATTGTTAAACATACCTGTAGTATAGTACTAGAATCTAGTATCACCATACCATATATAGTATAATCTATTGTTAAAAATACCTGCAGAATAGCACTAGAATCTAGTATCATACCCTATATAGTATAATCTATTGTTAAACATACCTGTAGAATAGCACTAGAATCTAGTATCATACCATATATTGTATAATCTATTGTTAAACATACCTGTAAGATAGCACTAGAATCTAGTATCATCATACCATATATAGCATAACCTATTGTTAAACATACCTGTAAGATAGCACTAGAATCATCATATCATAATAATGTAGTATAATCTATTGTTAAACATACTGGTAGTATAGCACTAGAATCTAGTACCAAATCATAAATAGTATAATCTATTTTAA